ACATACATACATACATACATACATACATACATACATACATACATACAGACAAACATACAGACATACATAAAAACTACTTGTGTATTATTTTACAATTTCCTTTTGTTCTTGAAGCATGGTCATGATGAAGCTCTGATTGATTCTTATGATGTTGTCTTATAACAAAAATATTGGCAGTTTCTGTGGGATGTTGCTGCCATGAGCAGGGTGTATGAGGTTTATGTGGTTGGTTGGTAAGTCACAAAGTTTATGTAGATGATTTATAGCCAGTAAATTCCAGATCCATAAATGGAATCAATGATTTCTAACAGAACATTAGTTTTACAGCCTAATCAATGTTATCACTTGCTTCTGGTTTTATTGTGGCTGACTGATGTCAAGCGACAGTAACGCCTCTTGATCGAAGGAATTTGACCCAATTGCTCCTCTAAGAACATGGCACTTAGTGGTTGTTGGGACAAAAACGAAGCACACTTTCTGGAGAACAGATATGACACTAGTAAAACCCAAAAATGATTTACATTGGCTATTTATGTTTCCTGCAGAACTGATAAAGGTGTGACAAAGTATTTGAAGAGATGCAAAAAGGTCCAAAGAGGAACTGAGGGTGTGATATGTATACACTTTGAGAGAACAGCCACAGTGTTTCTCAGTACAGATGAGATAACAATGGCACCAGTCATGGTCAAAGGACCAGTTTAAGCCAGAAACCATGCAGACAGTAGTATCAGTGAAGGAACAGTGTAACCTCTGCTTTAGCTGCAGTACAGAACACAATTACTGTTGAGGTTCAAAATAACAAATGTAACTAATGTATATGGTTTTGTTACAATGAGCCAAACAATACTCGTAGCTGGCATGTTCATCTTTAAAGATAATGCTTATTTCAACCATTCATACTCACAATCAATTTTTTTCCCCAGTCACAGCATATAATTCATGACTACTGAGAGTTACAGCATAGATTGAAAGGTAGGGAAACTCACATTTCCTGTCGGCTCAGCTCTTCACTGTGGGAAACCAGTAAAGAGTCCACATTACAGCAAGATGTTATGTAAGTCCACCTATCGATCTCATGCTCCTCTCTACCTCTACTTGTAAACAAGATCCTAATATACTTGTACCCTTCTACTTGGGGCAGCTGCGGCTGAGTGGTTAGAGCAGTTGTCCTCCGTTGATAGAGTTGGGGGGTGTGATTCCTGGCAGTATGCAGTCACATGTCCTTGTGTGCCCCATCAGTGTAATAATGTAACACTGATTAGACTCTGTAGAATTATTTAATTAAATTAGCTTTGTAGAGATGTAGTAGAGTGCTATATGTGCGCGGATGGGGGAAAGCAGGCACATAATGTATTGTAAAGCACTTTGAGTAGATGAATAGATAGGTGCTATATAAGTAAAGTCCTTTTACCATTTGCTTGAGTCAGAAGTTCATTCCTGACCTACAACTGGAAATCCACCCTTTTCTGGTTGAAGACCATGGCTATGCAAGCCACTCCACTGCTTACTGGAGGTTTGCACTATCTTCTGTTAACTTTTTATGACACTGTGTTTATTAAAAATAGCAAACCAGCATCAAAACTGGGCTTGGACAACTGAGTGGACAATACAAAATATTATCAAGTGGATAAGTACTGCTCTTTAGACTTCTCTTCCATGTGCTTACATTTTCCCTCTTTCATTTTTCTTTGCAACATTTTTGTGCATATCTTTTCTTTCTATGTAGATGTTTACCACTGATCACATTTCAATGCTCTAAAGGAATATGCACACGTGTTTAAAAAATAGATATGTAGTTATTCTATCACAGAAAGGGGAGAGGAGGTGTGAAAGGGATGAGAAAGAGACAGGTACTCCTCTTGCACTAACAAGTGTCTGAGATGTGCTTTGATGAGTCTGACGGTGGCTTTCTCTACTTGTCTGTGGCAGTGCTACTGCTGGGAACATAACGAAAAGGTAGTCAAGCACTGACTCTTTTAATGAGGTAATTTCTGTCACAGGCAAGATTCTCCTTGCCTGATTTCATCATGAACGCACTCTGTTGCTCTCACCGAATGTACCTAGACAATTTGTACATTAGTCGAACAAAGGAACAACTGGTACTTTGGATGTTTCTGATTACATTTATATTGTCACCCTTCCAGCTCAGATAATATTGTTCTCAAATTATGACTGGCTCTGGTGGCCAGCAGGAAAACATATGATGCTATGGTAGTTCTTACTGTTTGATGGCTCCCGTTACATGTGGCGCTCTATGAAAGTCCACCTTGTTTGTAGCTGATTTAGTTCCCTTATCTTGTTTTGAGAAAGTGCAATTAAATTTCCTACTCTAGTCTTCTTGTTGTAGTAGCTAAGCTTTTCTGGCAGGCATGTCAATGCCAATATTGGGTCTCTTAAACATAAATACATGAAACAAAGTAGCATCTACTGTACCAGCTCTGCAGTCTCTGCATTGTGACAGTTTCTTCCAATTGCACACTTTCTGACCCACAAACTGTACCACCCTTTCAGCTCAGATGCCTCAATAAACTTTTGTAGGTGGGAGATGTTCAGTCCACATTTCCCACCATACCGCACTGCTTGTCATTGTTCATAGTCAGTGAAAGAAGCAGCCGAACATAGCCCGATGAGACATGTGGGTAGTCATAAATCTGTGCAGCAAAGAAAATAAACGTCTAAGATTGACACCCGTGTGTGGATTAGTGTTTGTTTTGAATGAACCAATTAGAAGCAAAACCACAACAGATTAGTTGGCAAGATATTTTTCTAGCTGTAGCAGCTTAAAAGCAAAGTACAAAGAATATCGTCCTAGAATACCTTCCACACAAAAGGGGAGTTGTCCTTGTTGGGTATATGCACCGGAAGAGGCAACAAGAGATGGCATTTTGTTGCAATTGAGGAAGGAAAGAATAAATGATGCTTTAAAGATGAAGGCTGAAATTGTCTCTTTGTTATGACTTATAATTGTGGCTTTCTATGAGACATAATGCTGCTTACTCCGCTGATCCGAAATTCAGTCCTCAAACCATCTTGTAGCAATTTCATATCCTGTTTTTACAACCCCATCTCCTGCCACCCGATTCAGCTACAGTCCTTCTCAAGACTCAGAAAGAAGCTGAACAAATACTATTTATTCAGTAAATAAACTTTATTCGATAGCAGATTAAACAAAAACATCTCTTAAATAAGAATTAACCAAACTAAGTGTATCGTTTTATTTCTTACTAAAGTGAACAAAAGGTGTATATGTAAAAAATGTTAAGTATTAACTTTTTTTTATTCTTCTTCTTCTAGCATTTTGGTCCTTCATGTGGTTCGTGGGTTTCTGCTTTTTGGCCAACCAGTGGCAGGTGACCAAGCCAGAGGACAACCCCCTGAGAGAGGGAGGAGATGCTGCCCGGGCAGCCATCACTTTCGCTTTCTTCTCAGTCTTCACTTGGGTAAGCATCATTATATGGTAAACTGTTTTAATTAAACTTTAGGAGGGCGCTGCGGCTCATGTGAGGACTGAACGCCTTAAGTCCGTTCCCTTCCTTTTTTTATTTATAGCAGATGAACAATATAAAACTGATAGTTTTGTCCATATTAACTAAAAGTATAAATGTTTATTTGCATTTGTGGACAAATGAACTGATGAGAGTATGGCTGTTTGTTTGTTTTTTTCCTGACAGGGTGCTCAGACTATCTTCTCTATGGGGAAATTAAAGCATATATCATTTGAAGAAGAATATACCAAGTTGTTCCCTCCTCAGCCTCATCAGCCTTTTGTCTGACTCTGTTCTTCCTAACACCCCCCTCCCCCTCGCTGTCTCAACCCTCTGCAGCTGGTTGCACAAACTCGTGTTTCTTCATAATGAACAAACTGGTTTAAGGGCACCTGGTGTAACCTATTACTGCTGGAAGTGCATTTGGCTCTATCTAAACAGTGAGAACAGTAGGGAGAACTGCTGCACAGGTTGACTGAACCAGCTGGTGAATTAAAATGTCTAAACAATTACACTTTTGTGTTTCTTTCACTTGAAAAACTACCTGCCCACTGGAATTTTGAAGCTTTTATCAGACCTCAAAATTGTGTCATAAAACCAACATATAATAAGAGAACCAAACTTACTGTTTGACTGATTGGCTTTATATTTGGCTATTAGATCATCTTACGTCTTTTCAGTTTTTTATTTAGTTTTTATACTTTAAGATTGATGTACATTGAGGCTTTTATCACACTAATACGGATATTTTAGAAAACAAACATTTTGTACCTTGTTTATCCACATGATAACGATAATTTTGGAAAATAAAAATAAAAATCAACACTCAAATTGGAGATTTTTATAAATGTATTTAGTGTATTCTTTCTACATCTGACTGGCTTGAAACTGATTTTGTTGCCAATAAATTGCTAAAGAACAGAGCTGCATTTTTGGGGGGAAAGTCTTTAGTTAAGAGTTAGTTAAGAATGTTCTTTTGCGATTGGCTAATGTCAATGTTATTCCCATCTACTGACCCTTCGTGTATATTTCATCATTACTGTTGTTTGGAAGAAAATGAAATCCAACAAAGTTCAGTCAGGTCATCTGGAATATTTTTTAGTTTTTTTTTTAATGTTTCATCCTTCATCCAAATGACTTCATCAGTCCAAAGAACCACACACAAACTGAGTCCCACAAGCAACACATCCTCACAGTGGACCAACCAGTTTGCTGTTAAGATGGTTTCTGGAGCAGGTCCTCTCCCCTGTCGACTCCTCTGAGTCAGCCAAAGCCAAAGTTGTTCAAAACATCAAAATTCATGCTCAGTTATCCAGGTAGCAAAATCCAACAATGTTCAGTCAGGTCATCTGGATGTTTTCTTGTTTGTTTTGTTTTTTTGTTTATCTTATCACCAGCAAACTGGTTTGTCCACTATGGGAGTGTGCTGCTTGTGGGACCTAGTTTGTTTGTGGCTCCACGGATTCATTTATTATTATTTATTAACCTTTATTTAACCAGGTACATCCCATTGAGATCACGAGATCTCTTTTGAAAGGGAGGCCTGGGCCTGAAGGCAGCCTAACATACATGTTTTTGGTCTGTGGGAGGAAAGCGGAGTCCCCGGAGAAAACCCACATAAGCACGAGAAGAACACGCAAACTCCTCACAAAAGACCCCAGGTCCAACCGGGGATTGAATCCAGGACCTTCTTGCTGTGAGGCAACAGCGCTAGCCACTGAGCTGTCATGCTGCTAAGTCTTGATGAAATCCTTTGGATGAAGGACAAAATACCTCAACAAAAAAACAAAACCATCCAGATGACCTGACTGAACTTTGTTGGATTCTTTACCTGGATTATTGAGCATGAACTTTGATGGGCAGGGCAGTCGACTCGAGGCTTGAAGGTCCCGGGTTCGATCCCCAATCATCTCACATCTCGCGGTGTCTCTGAACAGGACACCTTAACCCCCAGTTGCTCCCGAGGTACTTTCAATAGCTGCCCACTGCTCCACCTGGTGGTGGATGGGTTAAATGCAGAGCCAATTTCACCTTTATATGGGAACATACAATGATGACAATACATAACATTATTATTATGAAGAAGAAAATTAATTTTGTTGTCAAAAGTAGGAAAATACTTGTTTCAGAAAACAACTAGATTAGATAGATAGGGTTCAAGTTTACAGTATTAGAAACCCTTAAACGAGTGACGTCTTGACATATAAGCATCCTCTTCATCCAATCAATAACTAATCTTCCCATTAATGATTAATCTTAAGGTGTGTTCCTTTGTCTTTATATTCATTAGGTCAAAGTCACAAAAATGTCACACCATTATGTTTTTTTTCTGCATTTTCTAGAGTGCATTGCTCACAGTGGAACTGGTCAATGTTCGTTTGACCTTTATTGATTTAATTTGTAAATCGATGAAGAATGTATATTCAGCATCTTGCCTTCACATAGTTGAACAGTTCATGAAACGCAGTTGATCACTCTCCTAAAAGAATGCACCGCAGCGTTGGGACGTGGATTTATGTGGTTAAATACACAATGGAACATAATAGGTTTGTCAAAATCTTGTTTCCACAATTCCTTTGGAAACAAACAGATAGATTTTAATTTCCAGTTTGTGAAAAATTAAGCTGTCTGACTGAAGGCTCCATCTTCAAATAGTTACCAAACATTATAGTGCTATCAATATGATGGTAAAGTACGGCTGATGAAACTTTATTTCTTTAATTTCTCAAGATTTTGTTTCTCTTTGCTGTTGCTGTCTATACCTGAATGGTCATGCTTTACGTCCATTGCTGTTTTTTCATTTTTTTTTTTTGGTTCAAGATTAGTATGTGTTGCTTTAAGGGTTCTGAAAAGCATTTTTGAAGTGGTGCATTTTTTAATCAGCTTCAAACTGAAGAGCCAGTAACAGTTTTGTTGCATATGTATTAAGTATTTATAGCTCGTGCTGTTTATTACTGAACACATACACTGTTTGATCCTACTGGGATTATTCCACTGTGAGCTGAGGTAAGGTTGAGGTTGTACTCTTCATTAACGATGCAGAAATAGCTTTTTTACTTCGCTGCCTTCAGAAGTAACCCGCTGTGACTGACTAAATGACTCATTCAGACTTTCTAATAAGCTTTGTGTGCTTTCTATTCCACTAATCAATGTTTTCTTCTTGCTGTTTCTCTTCCCTCCCAACCCCGCCGCTCTAACACCACTGCTTCATCGTCTGTCTTCACAACCATTCATTTGCTATCAATGCAACTCGTTTGCCCTTTTATTATCCATCTCCACCTCCGATCAACTGTGACTAAGGCGGGTCAGTGCTTCTTCGCCTTCCAGAAATACAAGCTGGGGGCTGACTCGGCCCTCTTCTCGCAGGACTACACTGACCCCAGCCAGGACGCAGCCGGAGCCCCCTACACATCGTTTGGAGGGGATGACTTGGAGAGCCCGGGTGGTGCAGGGGGCCAGACGAACAGCGACGGGGCCTTCGATGGCACTGGAGGCTACCAGCGTCAAGACTACTGAGATGTCAAGTGTCTAATTTAGACGTCGTGAAAATGCCCCAAAATTCTAATTTCAAGTATTTTACGTTGTTTCTGTCAAACTGAACGCGAACCGAACCAGTTTTCAAACACTTCTAGTCCAACTTTACGCTAAACTGTTCAAAGTTTTATTCAGTCACAGGCATAATAATGATAAGCAGTAGGAATTGTGGGGATTGGCTGATTTTCATCTGATGTGTAAGTCAGAAATTTCAGACATCGTTCCAGACTCTGATGTACGTCACACACAACCTCTGGTATGTTTCTGCACTTTACATGAACAAGTTCAGAAGAATCTAAGGTTGTGGATTACAAAGAGTGAGTGTCACTGTAGGTATTGAGGACCTGTGGGAGTTTAGGACACTATTGGCAGAAGGGGAGGTTTGGGGAAATGGTCATCCCAAGGCCGACCAATGTTTGCAATCATACAGTTTTGATCTTTTAAGGTCAGTCGGCACAATGACTGCATCAGTGTTGTGTATAACGCACATATACAGACAGATTCAGGGCACATTGAAATTAGATGCCCGTTTTCGAGGACAAAACCTAATGGTGTATTACAGACAAGCATATCTGGCAACAAAACACTTTTGTGTAAAATGAAAAGAGTGTGTGTATGTGTCTATTGACAGATCTATGTTTTGTTCTTTTTTCTCCTAATGTGAGATACGCTGTTTGTCTTTTCTGCGAAGCTCTTTTCTTTTGCTCGATTGTTGCCTTAGTGCTGACTGTCAAGCAAATACCAACATGCAAGAGTACGCCCAACATACACCACAGTTCACCCTCTGAATCTTTCATGTTGAAACTTTAGCTTTAGTTGGATTTTGTATTGTTTTAGTCTTTAAGAGCATGAAGCTCTTGGAACAAAACCGAGCTTCGTCCATATTATGCAGCGTTTCATTAAAACCATATAAGTCAATGTCTGGTCACTATACAGAGAACTGCTGTGAAGGATTTACAGTTTATTTTTTTCTTATGGATTAAAAAATAAATTTTCAAATGAAAGAATGATCTACATCCTGAGTATTTATGAACATGCATTGCTTGATTTCCTCATACAATAAAGTTTACCTATATCTCTGAATATACGGTATGTAAATCTATAATTTACTGTATTTCAATGTTTGACAGAAAGAGTTTGCTTTATTTTAGGGCACAATTCTAGTCCTGTAAAAATAATCTGAAAATAAATAAAGAAGTTTTATTGTCTATTGAGTGTTTGTGTGACTATATATATATATATACACACACACAAATATATATGTCATTTGTGCCTCATTTTTTCTGTTGCTTTCTGGATAGGAAGATGTTTTTATTTTAGAGATATCCTACTATAAAACAAAAAAAAACACGAGTGACCAAATTTCAAAAGTATATATAAATATCTATGAATATATACTCATATGTACTTTATACTTTAGATCTGTGTAGCTGTAGAAATGTGTGATGTTCCTTCGTGAAATCTGTTTGAAAAAGCACTAGGAAAAAGAATGGGTAAAAAAATGTGTTTGATTTTAAACAATAAAGATAATAATAAAAAAATAATGAATATTATATTGATTGTTTCTTCTTTCATTATTTGTAACACTACTTTTTTCCTTCCTGGTTGTTTATCTTTGTTTTTGTTTTTTCCCCCAATATGGTTAAAAAAAAGCTTTGTTTTTAATTATTTATTTTAATATGCTCAAGTTGGCTTTTCAATTTGCTGTGAAGAGACTCCATGGAATGATTTATTTATGTATTCATTTTAATTACAAACAGGATTGCAATCATTGTTAGTTTGGTAAAGATGCAGAAACGACACCGCCCTCTACTGGTTAGACTTGTACCTGCAAGTTCATATTTTGTGACATTAATGTGTGGTTTGTTGGCTTGTTTTGTTTTACTTCCAACAATTTGTAAACTATTCGGATTTAGTTAAATACCTTAAGTTGATCCTGGCTACTTTTCAACGTCACTGTGGCTGAATTTTCATATTCTAACGAATTTTCGTGGCTTTAAATATAAGAATGGCTTTAAAATATAAATTTAGTTTAATGGATCAGCATTTTATTTTTTTTTTATCGTCCTCTCCCACCATATGTCAAGCATGTTTCAGATCCATGCAGTGGTGGTTTCTGATCTGGGTGATGTAGGCAGCTGCCCCGGGTGGCATCTTGTCAAGGGTGGCACGAGCGCCTGGCCCCGACCTCCCCCTAAAAAGAATACAGTGCAGTATTTCATATAGCCTGTCTAGCCAACATGTCAGTTTCCAGTCGCCCACTTGCAGGTAGTGGGTGACTTCTGTCAGGTGCAGGGCATGTAGCTTCTGCTGAGGTCTGACACACAGGTTGTGAAAGAAGGGGAGGGGGATTCTAACTGGCTGATAAATGCCAAAGCTTCACTACCGCCGCCATGACATTCATCTTGTTTGTTTTTCGGAGGTTAGCTCACCTTGGATTACATTTCCGATTGGGCGGTGCGGTCTTACTGTTCATGTCATGTCAATTAGTTCACTAAGTAAATCACATCATTGATTGCTCCCAAACAAAGCACATTTCATTCATAATATTGCAAATATAGCCAATAGTTTGCAGCTTATTTGTGTGAAATTGCTGAAAAAAAAAAGACAAAAACAAATCTACACACCAAGGAAGGTGAATTAGTTTAGGCCAGACGTGGACAACTTAAGGCCCGAGGGCCAAAAGTAGTTTTTGGACAGTCTCCATCAGGCCCCCAATGTCCTTAGTTAAAAAAAAAAAACTTTTTTAAATAGATTGATTAAAAAAAAAAAAAAAAAAGCAATTTCTCAACAAGACAAGGAAATTTCAATTAAACATATCACGCAAAACAAACAAAAAACATTTTAAGTCATCCTGAATCAACAACTACAGGTCCTTCTCAAAAAATTAGCATATTGTGATAAAGGTAATTATTTTCCATAATGTAATGATAAAAATGAAACTTTCATATATTTCAGATTCATTGCACACCAACTGAAATATTTCAGGTCTTTAATTGTTTTAATACTGATGATTATGGCATACAGCTCAAGAAAACCCAAAATGCCTGTCCCAAAAAATTAGCATATTTCATCCCACCAATGAAAGACAAGTGTTTTTAATACAAAAAACGCAAACCTTCAAATAATCATGTTCAGTTATGCACTCAATACTTGGTCGGGAATCCTTTTGCATGAATGACTGCTTCAATGTGGCGTGGCATGGAGGCAATCAGCCTGTGGCACTGCTGAGGTGTTATGGAGGCCCAGGATGCTTCGATAGCGGCCTTAAGCTCATCCAGAGTGTTGGGTCTTGCGTCTCTCAACTTTCTCTTCACAATATCCCACAGGTTCTCTTTGGGGTTCAGGTCAGGAGAGTTGGCAGGCCAATTGAGCACAGTAATACCATGGTCAGTAAACCATTTACCAGTGGTTTTGGCACTGTGAGCAGGTGCCAGGTCGTGCTGAAAAATGAAATCTTCATCTCCATAAAGCTTTTCAGCAGATGGAAGCATGAAGTGCTCCAAAATCTCCTGATAGCTAGCTGCATTGACCCTTCCCTTGACAAAACACAGTGGACCAACACCAGCAGCTGACATGACACCCCAGTGACTGTGGAAACTTGACACTGGACCTCAAGCAATGTGAATTCTGTGTCTCCTCTCTTCCTCCAGACTCTGGGACCTTGATTTCCAAAGGAAATGCAAAATTTACTGTAATCAGAGAACATAACTTTGGACCAGTCAGCAGCAGTCCCAGGCGAGATGCTTCTGACGCAGTCTCTTGTTCAAAAGTGGCTTGACCTGGGGAATGCGGCACCTGTAGCCCATTTCCTGCACACGCCTGTGCACGGTGGCTCTGGATGTTTCTACTCCAGACTCAGTCCACTGCTTCCGCAGGTCCCCCAAGGTTTGGAATCGGCCCTTCTCCACAATCTTCCTCAGGGTCCGGTCACCTCTTCTCGTTGTGCAGCGTTTTCTGCCGCACTTTTCTCTTCCCACAGACTTCCCACTGAGGTGCCTTGATACAGCACTCTGGGAACAGCCTATTCGTTCAGCCCTTTCTTTCTGTGTCTTACCCTCTTGCTTGAGGGTGTCAATGATGGCCTTCTGGACTGCAGTCAGGTCGGCAGTCTTACCCATGATTGTGGTTTTGAATAATGAACAAGGCTGGGAGTTTTTAAAAGCCTCAGGAATCTTTTGCAGGTGTTTAGAGTTACGTCGTTGATTCAAATGGTTAGGTTAATAGCTTGTTTAGAGAACCTTTTCATGATATGCTAATTTTTTGGGACAGGCATTTTGGGTTTTCATGAGCTGTATGCCATAATCATAAGTATTAAAACAATAAAAGACCTGAAATATTTCAGTTGGTGTGCAATGAATCTGAAATATATGAAAGTTTCATTTTTATCATTACATTATGGAAAATAATGACCTTTATCACAATATGCTAATTTTTTGAGAAGGACCTGTAAACTGAACTTTGAAACACATATACATAAGTTTGTTTTGCATATTTCCGCTAACATGTATAACTTTAAGCTAACGTGTATAATAAAATGTCACAAGAGCCAGTTTATAGAATATGTCTTATATTCCTAAAGGATATTGGAAAGACATGTTTTTATGAAGCACACTAACTATGCTACAATAAGAAAAAACCTGAAAAGGTCTTCTAGATTATCTGTCATAAAGAAAATGTTCCAATTGTCCATGCAGCCCTTTGATTGCTTTAAGCTTCTTAATATGGCCCTTTGGAAAAATGTTGCCAACCTCTGGTTTAGGCCTAAGTTGTTTTGATTCAAGTTGGGGAAGTGCCAATTACATACATGGAAGATGGACAAGAAAAGGTCAAAGCCATCAGGTGCCCAGTTTAGGAAAAAGAGAAAAGAAGAAGAGGAGAAATTAGCAAAAGATAAAGGTGTGCATGTAAAGGTGTTATGTTATGTAAGCTATAGCATGTTGCAAGATAGACTTACTATGAATTAATAACATAAGACATAACTGTTGATTACACTTAGCTGCTTAGAACATGTTCAGTTTACAGCAGAATATATTACTGTTTTAAAGACTGAAATCCTTCTACAGCTAAACTAATATATGAGAAAGTAATATTAGGCTACCATAATCACTGAAAGCAATGATCTTGTGATGTAGCGTGGACCATATTAATATCATTAACTGGAAGAGGATTTTTCTCCTGACTATATCACAAATTGGACATACGTATATCTTTGTCTTATTGCTAGCCATTTGTTATGTTGCATAAGATTTTGCAAAGTTTGAACAAGTGTTCAGTTGTGCACTTTATTCTGTATTTTCTTTCTTGTACTGAAGTACCATACCATACCACTTTATTTATAAAGCACTTAAAACAGCTACAAGGCCAACCAAAGTGCTGTACAGATAAAACAACAGGTAACACACAAAGCAAAATACAAAATGAGGTAAATCAGAATATAGACAAAAAACGATGCAGATAATGACGACAAACCAGTGTGGAGCATACAGGATCAAAACACAGATCATCTTGTGTTGAAAGCTATTGAATAGTAGTGAGTTTTTAAACGGGACTTGAAAACCGAGAGGGAGGGGGTCTGTCTGACAAGTAGAGGTAACTCGTTCCAGAGTCTTGGTCCTGCTACAGAGAAGGCCCTGTCACCTCTGCGCTTAAGACGAGTTCCTGGAACTGTGAGGAGCAACTGGTCCGCTGACCTCAGGGAACGTGGTGGGACATACAGTTGTAGCAGATCAGAGAGATAGGGGGGCGCGAAACTGTTCAGCGATTTGTAGACACACACGAGTATTTTGAACTGGATTCAAAGGTGAACCGGTTGCCAGTGCAGTGAGGCCAAAACTGGTGTAATGTGCTCTCTTTTGCCTGTACTGGTTAAATATCGGGCTGCTGCATTCTGGACCAGTTGTATTAATGTCTCCAAGTTATTTTTGGACAATATGGGCTTCAGTTTAGACAGCCGCCTCAGTTGGAAGAAACATGATTTAACAATCATGTTTACATGATTGTTAAGTTTCAGAGAAGGGTCCATTATCACGCCCAGATTAGTGATTCTTTGTTTTTCTGAAAGGGTTAGAGTGGAAAGGTCGATGCAGTGGTTTGTGATAGTGTCAATGGGAGGGAACAACATGACTTCAGACTTCTTTTCATTGAAACTTAAGAAGTTTAAAGCCATCCAGTCCCTGGTGTCAGCCAGGCAGTCGAGCAGAGGTTGAATAGAGCATATACCATTGTGTCT